GATTTTAATTAAATTTTAACACTTTGGATGGAACCGGAACTTTTATATTCGAGAATCCAAACCTAACCTATATTATTATTGTTAAAAATATTCGAACTGACCTAGTACCTTTAAATATATTTTCAAGGAACCTGAACCGGAAAAAAGACATGGATCCAGTCCCTAGTTTATTCATAAAAATCTCAGCTTTCACCGAACCAATTTTGTTAATCATTATGTCAAAAAAATATCATTTTAACATTTTGAAGATATCTCTTCCAAAAATTGAAATTTTTTTATATTTAAATGTATCAAGTTAAAGCTTTTAAAATTTTCTTTCAGTTTCAAAAATAATAAGACACGATGATTCTCTTAAAAGTAATTTTCAATAAAATTTATTGTTAGAAAAAATTGTTTCTAAAGATAGATTTTAGGGGTAACTTTCGAAAATTTAATGGAAATTTATAATTATTTTTTGATTTTTAAATTAAGTATGTTCGAAATAACATGTTGACTGGACAATTATCAGTTTTGTATTATGAATTTTTGATTTAATGTAATTTTTTGTTATAGACGAAAGGGTTGCACATAGTTGAAGAATTCTTATCTGTGTATCATGATAAAAATAGTGTCGCTAAACACTACCCAGTTTCTCACTTTTTCTTCATCTTTAAATGCTAATATTTTAACAAGTAATATTGTTTATTTATAAACATAGATAACATTTCAATTTGTATATTTTTTGAACATAACATTATTTAAAGAAAAGAATGATGGGTATTATTATTAAAAAAATCACATTGTTTCCTTGAGTCCAATATTCTAGATCCCTACTACGCTGAGTAATGACATAGTTTTAATTTTAATAAATTTAAAAATGTTTTGAACTATGAAACTTTTTGTTTTTATAATTTATGACGATAATGATTTGTTAAAAATAACGAATACTTGAAAACTCAAAATTTCATGCCCTCTATGCTTAAAAACTTCAAAAATAGGGTCAAAACAAATAATTTGAAATACCAACAGATGTCGCTTTATGCATTTTATTTTAGTATTATGCAGCTACTTTCATTTTTAGATCCATATAATAAATGAAATAATACAAAAATATTGTTTAGAATTTAAAGTTTTTAATGTTATTTAAACTATATGGTTAATTAATTTTTAATTAATTAAATTTTAAACTTTAATTAAAAATTTTTTTAACTAGGATTTATTCAAAGCAAACCAATTAATTTTCTAGTCAGTAAATTTTTATACGAATACTTTTTTTTCATTTAATTAGATCTTTGTTAATTCATAATATACAATTATGTAGTTTGAGCAATAACAAATAAAAATATAGCTAAAAGTCAATGTTCGTTAGAATACAATAACATTTAATGAATTTTTAAGTTTAAAATATTTGTTTTTCAATACTTTTGAAAATTAAAAGTTGTAATATTTGTTAGTGTATAAACTTATCCCTATTTTCATTTATTATTATTATTGTATAAATTTTAATTAAATAATTATTTTATGTTTTAGTGTTATTTCAAGTAGCATCATAATAACTTGTTATCATATTACATCGTACAATTCTAAATCCCACGTGTAATCTCTTGTCACACGTGGATCGTTTAAATTTTTTTCAGTGGACCACGTGACACAACAAAAAATATGTTATGATTACATCGTATGATTGACGTTAGTGTAATTTGTAATTTTTACAACGGGGTGCAAACAATAGTGATGCCGCGTGCTGTAGGTCGTACGCGTGAGATAGCCGCAGGAGGACGTGTACGTTTTCTGACATACGACATAGTCCACGTAAAACGGTTTCCTTGTTTGGATTTCTCTTAATACTAATAAGCCACTGCTGATTTGCGATATGTAACACAACTCTGCAAGTGTGCGGGAGGAGTCGCGTGCCACAGAAAAAATAACAATGTAAAAATCGTATTGTATATTTCACCCGGAAAAATTGTTATTATTGTTGTTATTAGATATTAAATTTCCATCAAACGGGACCCTTTATGGTACAAATAACTTCGTGTGCAGCTCGTTCAATACACTTAGTTGTATTAAAAACGATTTTGGTTTGTTAACAAATGATTAAATTTAACATATGCAGGTACTTTTAAGCGAAAATATCGAAATAAAATTGTAAATGTTGGTGTTATTACGTATATAATGTGTGGTGTAAATCATATATTTAAAAATAGTGAATTTTTCATTTAATGTGCGGGGTGCCATCAGTATGTTCCCAGGGATGGAATCTGTACCCACTGTATTGTACAGTACACGTTAACTGAAAACGTAGGAGAAGGCTCTTATAGCGGTTGTTTGAATGGTGGCGAACCCTTCGATACCCTTAGTGGTCGACGAATACAAACAAAAATTAAAAAGGATTGAAAACACCAAAGCAAATAATTGTACACAAACACCATATCAACTTGAGTGTATATTATGCACGAAAGAGAAAACTGAGTAGGGACATATGGCGAACGCAAAATAGATGAAGATAAGAGTAAACAACTCAAAATGTAAATATACTTGTCTCGCTTTTACAATAATTAAAATTAATTACCACTTGGTTTCATACGTGCAGAAATTAGTAATGATGTCACTGTTTATATTTGTGAATGTACAGCATAATATGTTAATAATATTTTATTAAAATTATTAATGTCGGCGAATTTTGTATAATATAATGGAGTTCGAAGTTATAAGATTATGAAGTTGTAATTCCGCCTAAAAACGATATGATATTAAGTTTTATTATTTTGTAACTAAAAAATTTATTATTTATGTCAAAACAAACCTTTATTTACATAAATACAAGTTTACCCGTCACGTATTTTTCCGATTATAAGAGAAAGGAAATTTAAGGAAACTCAATAATTCAATATATATATGGGTGTATTTATTTTTGTTGAGATCTAATTGTTTTTCTATTTAAAAGTTTCATTTTAACTCTATTTATTTATTCAAGTACTTGTTGATACAGAATATTTTTTGTTTTGTCTAGTGGATACAAGAAAAAATCTAGAGGTTTTTCAATGGGTCAACTGGTCACATACAGTTGTTCATGTAAGACGCACGAATTTTCCAAATCTCGCCGACAAACTTGCAACGATTGTCGTGCTTTTGTTGATATTCATTGTAAAAGTGAGTTGCACCGGAAACTGTAAACGTTTGAATTTAAATGGTAAATCTGTAGGAATATGTGGCGACAGTACATCTTCCCCCTTGAATTTCTCATTTTAAGTTGTAGCTTCAATGGTATTGTTCAAAACCTTTTTCGCCAAAAATCTTGTATCATTACAAAGTCACGGTGAATGATATTTCGTAGAAGAATGATAGGAACAACAAATTTCAATGTTTTAATGTGCGAAGCATACTTAGCAAATCAATTGAATTTATGAATACTGTCGAGTAATTAAAGACTTTGTTTTGATTCATTACCGTATCGATGGCCTTAAACGTAGTAATTTTTTTTAATTCGTGCATTGATTTTTGTAATTCTGCGTTATATTTGGGAAAACTGTTTGAATCAATTTGACTTTGGTTAATGTCGCCCTACAAATTTTGTTAAAAACATGATACATTGTGTACATAGTCAATTGCCATCTTCCCATTCTCAATAATTAGCAATAGTTTTGCAGAACATTCTCTCTGGATATATCATCAAAATTTTGGATTTCGGATAGTTTTTCTTTTTTCATTTTAAAGAATATTTTTATTATCTTTAATTTTATGTAAATTTAAAGAAATCAGGGATTTTGAAACATATTAAAAATTGAAAAGAAAAAAATGATGATGTGATTTTTAAGCTTTTTGAGTATTTTGGATCAGTCAAGATTGGATTTTCATAAAAATATCATCAGCAAGGCTTATTTTTAAAGCATTATCAATTAAAATTTCGCGATAATCTATTCTGTTTTCAATATAAAAAAAATATCTGTTAAAACAATAACTGTTTTATAGTAACTGTTACTTTTTAGGATCATTTTCTTTTATTAGGGACTTTAAGGGAAATAGCTTCAACTAGATACGTTTTGTAATCTTTTGTCGTGTAGTTAAGCAAAAATATCTGTTTTGAGTCAATTAATTTAATATACAGGCCCAAAAAATAATATAAAATCACGAGAGAGTAAAACGAATAGATTCTCATCTACGCATTAAAGCTCAAAAAGTATTAACAACAAATTTTTCATTAAAAATAAACTAATATAGTCGGATTGGGTATTATATTAAAACAAGAATTTGCGCATAATATAGTATGCACTATTAAAATGTACATTTATTTCATAATAAAAAAATTGAAAAAATCTTTCATTTATCGAATTACTCATTTTTAGACTATGAAGTTTGACACACTGAAAATATTAGTGTTGATTATTTAGTTGAAGTACTTTTTAAAAAAAATGAATACAAGCTTTTAATATTAAATATTATTAGCCTCAGGTGATCAATTGTTATTATATAAAGATAGGGTTAGCAATATTTCCTTTGTACATACTATTTAACCACTGGTAATTAATAACTATACGAATTGAGTTTCTTTTTTGTGTTGACGACTAATCCATAAACACTTTTCGTTATTATAGTTACATATGTTGTATTATACCTAATACTACGAAGTTTCTAATATGGTTCAAAATACAAATTACAGGTGTGAACTTACTTCAAAAATGTTGGTAGCCGCATAATTAATATGACAATTTTATAATTAAATTTATTATAGTGTCGTTATACCTTTACATAAATATTATGCATATGTTATTAGAAGTCGTTGAAGTGCATTTATTTACTTATCGGTTCAATTTACTTTTACTTCTATTTAAGTATCTATGGATACTAAAATATTTACAAAGGAATAATACATTTTTATGTTGATTTCAAAATATAGACTATATATTTTTAATGAAATTTTTTATTTTTTTTTTCAAATAATACTTCACTTGGTCACAATTGGTACTTTTCTATTAAATATATTTAAGATATTTTAGGTATTAAGTAAGTTATAACTCAAATAAAAAAAAATGTTATATTGTAATAATATTTTGAACGAACATTTAAAGATTATTTTGTGTTTATGATACTAAGAGAAAATATTTACATTTAAACAGTATTTTTATACAACCAAAATACGGCAGTCTATAGCCTAAGCGGTACTACTTACAGAGCTAGAAGATAATATATATATTTATAAATTAATACTTAAGTATAATTTCTATATACACTAAAAAAAATAGTAACAACGGTATGTACAAAATATATAATCAAGAGCAGACAAAGCTCATATGATATGTAATTGCTCTAATCATTACTATTTAGATTACACTCATAAAAAGTATAAGTAAATAGTAATGAAAACAGGTTTAATTGATTTAACATAAAAAAAAATGTGTGAAAGTAAAAAAATGAAATGTTAGTTAAAAAATTAGTTAAATTTATGAATTAAATATTTTTTTTAAGTTTAAGTTAAAATATAAAAATAAATAAGACTAATTTTAACTTTACTTTGTTGATAAAAATTTTTAAATTTATCTATTGATATCACGCTTTTGCTGATACTATAATTATTTTATGAATACTAGTCAGTAGTATTTTAAATAACACGTTCAATTAAATTAAAAAACAACAACGTTTAAGAATAGAAATAAATAGATAAAATATGAAAGAAAGTTCAAGATACTTAAATAGGATTATATATTACATAATAAGATACATGTATTCCAAAAAAATAATGTATGATAAAACTCTTACAAAACATTTATGGTAGTGACGTTTTGTATTATCGACCTACAAATTTTTGATATAACTCGAAAATTTCACGATTGGTACTGGAGTAATTTTGAGACAGATTTGTTTAACTTTTTTATAAGATGATCGTTTATTTTGCTGAAGAGCTTATAAGAGGACCTGTCGCGTATGGTTGCCCGTTGCAATTCGGTAGGGCAAACGGGTTCATTGCAAAAGGCGATGTCACTAAAGTACCCATTCCTAAAAAAGACAAATTATTAAGTATAAAATTATTTACATTCTTTGATTAAAATTATTTTCATATAATTAACACTTACTTGATGAGGAATTGAATAGCGATGGGTGTGAAGTAGGTGTAGGAGAGTTCATGTTGGTAAGTTGGACGGTTGATGCATTACTGGACCCTCCGTTGTAACCGGCATTACTGGCACCATTTCCTGAACCAGATCCTGCCGAATTGGATTGATTTCCTCCGTTATTAATAATATTATTTCCATTGCCTCCACTTGTTCCACCACCAACAGTAGTAGGGGGATTTATGTACGAGCTACCACCATTGGTACCGTTGGTCGAGTGTGGAGTTGATGCACTCGAACCGTATCCCCCGCCTCTGGGTGATACGCTGCTACTTTGACCACGACCATAGTCTTCTGAAATCGTTACAAAAGTTATATGATTACGTAAAATTAATTGCTTATTTTTTAAAGTAATGTGAGATTTGAATAAGCCTTCTTAAATTTTATTTAAACATCATTAATTGTTTTAAATTTTCCTCTTACCATCATTCCATTGACTGGCCGTACCGTGGTCATGTACTGTGACTGCTAACTGTCCTGTGTATGGATTGAACCCGGTACCAGATGATGCTGAGGCCATTGACGATGTGTTATTATCGGCTCCGCGATCACGTGGTCCTGGAGATCTTGGTAACGATAGTGACAACTGATTGTTTCTGGGCATCGTGTATAGCGCTTCAGCTAAATCTGCTGCCCGTTTGAGAATGACTTCCTAAGAAGAAAATACATATTAAAAATGGAAATCGAAGGTAAAATAAGACAGTAATCAATTAGTATTTACTTTAGGCAGCTTTTCGGGGTCTCCAGGATATCGAGGCACAAATTTTTGCAGTCGCTGAAAACCGTAATCGATAGTCGGTTCACTCAAAGCTGAAAATTGTTAAAATATGATTTAATGATAAAATGGAATTATGGTGACAAATTAATAAATGACTGCGGTGTAATAATTTGTTTGAACAGATGTACTTACATATGTAGGCAAAACGCCCAGGAGATCCTTTACAGAATTGTTTAGATTTATAAGAAAGTGTTACCTCTACTATGCCTGGAATAGGCCTGGGTGGAGTTTGTACTTGAATTGCATGTGGCGTTAGTAACTAAAAAATAAATAAATTAGGTTATAATTAAAATATTTCTTTGGGTATTTTGTTGTAATTTGAAGTGCATATTTATTTCTGTTATTTGAATCGATTTTCTTATTAAATAACGAGTGGGAGGAGTTTATTTTCTTACATAGCCAAAGAATCGTAGAGGCTTATAACATCAATAAACTATAGAATAGTATTATTGTTAATAATTACCTCACTCCATACTAAATTACTGCCAAAAACAACTTGTAAACCATCAAAAAAGTTGTCACCTAGTATAGTCACTGACGCACCACCATGCGTCCATCCCTCACTAGGTGTTATATGTTTAATACATGGCGTGGCTACTGGTAACGGAGAAAACATGCCTAAAAATCATATTGAATATTATTATAATGTTACATAACTACAATGTAAAGTGTCGCACAGATTATAACGTTTTTTACTTAACGAAAACATTAATTTAAAGTAATTATTTGAATAAATAAAAATATTTGAGTAGCATAAGTATAATTTTATTGATCAGTAATTGAAAAATCATAGTAATAGAAAATATACTTTTTATGCGATATAAAAATTGATATTTTAAGAATACTCTTTTTTTTTTTATTTGTATACATATGTGTTTGGTTATTATTTTTACGAAGTTTAGGATTCCTACTACTTGAACTGGTGATTTTCAGGGCCACCCTTTACGCCAAACGTGCACATTCAGTGGACCGTATCGAAAAGGAAAAGCGGAAAGTTCTCAGATCGTTTGCCAGGTATACACACAAACAACCAATAAATGTATATATATATANCATTCAGTGGACCGTATCGAAAAGGAAAAGCGGAAAGTTCTCAAGATCGTTTGCCAGGTATACACACAAACAACCAATAAATGTATATATATATATATACAACGTAAGTAAGTTTTTCCTTTTTTTTTTCACTTCTGTTTGTTTTCTTATGATAAAACTACAATATTGCCTTTTACCATGAAATGTCTTTCGTAAATCGACAATAACACGGAGAAGTGTTTTAAAAGAAATAAATAAAACAAAACTGTATTATTTTTTGAAATATTTATAAATAAATTGAATTAAAAGTTTCTTTTTAAATACTATAATTAGAAGTTATTTTTCAATTCAAATCTAGAGTTGGTATTATATAAATGAATGTTGTGTTATTATTTATTCGATTTCACAAAAAATCGTGTGTATTTTAAATTCCTTGTAGAGCTAATTGATTTGGATTCATACCGTCATTGGGATCCAGACGTTTTGCACGGCGACCATGTTTAGAGTTGTTGTGTACGAACATGTTGTCCGATACAGCTAATAATGGACCTTCTACAGTCACCTGAGTGGAAATGACGACCTGAAATAAAAAGTTTTTATCAAAAACTATTTACTTAAATATTTAACTATTATCCGCCACAAAACTTTTTTTTTTCTTCAAAATTAACAACACTCAAAAAAATGTAAAGTGTTAGTCGAGGTCGGGGCAAACTCATTGGCCTTTACATTATTATTTCACATTTAAATGAAGTTTCCTCGAGTCACTTTAAACTACTGTTGATGATAATTATACTGTATAGCAAAAGGCAGGTATAAAAACAAAGCTGCCTTCTTGTGATATGCCGTGCATAATAAACTTTTTACGGAAACTAGAGAGGTGTTAAAAAAACACAACTCTAGAGGCAGATGATACAAATCCAACACGCCGAAGAGACGGTCGTATAGTCAATTATTAAATCTCGAGCGTCGATTTTCTCGTGTGCAAAGTTTTTCATTATTAAAGAGACGCCGCAGTGTAAATTAGATTGGGCGATGAAAGTTTTCTCGCGCGCTCTTTCCACTCGCCCCCCACCCACAACTACTGCAAGGAAATAATAAGAATTTTCCGCGGCAACCTCGTACATCTACTCGCATTTATCTTATCGAGCCCACCCCTTCCGCATTGGCCTTGTGTACCTACACGCGCCGCACTCGACTGACGACTCTGTAGCAGTCATCATCTTCGCTTACACTGTATATATGTGTGCTATAGTTATTATGTACACTGCACCGGAGCCGGCGGCCGTTTTCACTTGCCGCATTACCTCGAGCTTTCACTTCCTACCCCGGCTGCCAACGCATCGTACCTACCACCCGCCGGCACGCACCCATTTTGTGGCGACGATAGGATAAAATCGACTCCACCTCCGGGGAATACGCCGTCCTTGACGTCTTCACTGCCACCGTCGCTTTCCCCCGGGGGCCGACCAGCCGTTCCCATGGGAACCTGCGCACCCCTCATTCTAGCAGGGAGGGCATTGCGATGTGTGTGTATAAGGGTGGTGGTTTTGAATCGCTAAAGAACATAGCGTCGGTCTCGCGCTCGTGTAGCAGTGTACGGACAAAGGGAAGCCAGTCGGTTGGGGATAGGACGGAGTGAGTAAAGACGGAGTGGCTATGGTGGCGATATACTACCGGTCGGGTCAATTTCCCAGTAGCGCAGCGTTTCGACTTTTGCTCCCGACGTGAACAACAATCTCGATGGAATAATAATATTGTTGTTGTTTTTTTATTTTGTTTTTGACTCGAGATTTTTTTGCGGATGTGCACTCTTAGATTTGTACTTGGAGTATTTCTTGATTTTCAAAGTTGAACTTGAAAAATTATCGACCCCGTCAGATATATGAACTCACGATTAATCGTAGTAAAAGTTAATTTTAATTTAATAGCTATGAATAAGTACAGTCGATATTTTAATAATTTATTTTCGAGCTGTTATGTAGTTGAATAGTAATGGTTTTTATTGTTTTTACGAAACTTTTATTTTTATAAAAGCTAATTTAGAAAAATATATAAACTTTAGCATGTTCTTTTTTATTGACAATAAAAATCATTGCGTATTTTATCTTATAAACGTATAATAGTAATAAATCATTACTAAAAACTTTTATGGTAAAGAGTAACAGTATTATTCGAATCATTTTATTGAAATATTATAATATCTTAACGGTATTTAATAGTTTAGCCAAAATATGTTGTTTTACTCACTTGAAACCGGCGCATGTCACGAGGATTGCCTGCGTTTTTCAAACAGTTTTGGTTACATTTGAGAAAAAACTTTAAGAAAAATCTGAAAAAAAAAACAATTTCATATAATTAATATTTTTTATGTTAACGTGGTTATTTATTTGTAGTTAATATTTCTATTATTTTAAGTCGAACGAGAATTAATTACTGTTACACTTATCGTGAAAATCGTTTAAATTACACATATTTATAAGAGCTGTTTACAGTGTATATTTGGTTACAAAATGTGTTACGAGTGATTCCGTAGACTTACTTCCATAGATTAAGTATAAAAAAACATCAGCTTTTACGAGTTTACAAATTAACAGTATTAGTATTCGGCGTATAAAAGGAACAGAAGAACATTCCGTTTAACTGATTATTGGCCATTGCGTTGTTACAAAATCATCTGCAGTATATAGTGTAAAAAGGTGTGAGCGAATCAAAAAGAAACGGCATTTTTAATTGGTCTCTAGAGGCAATCTGTGTAACTCTAAAACCACCAAAACGCTATTTAAACGTGTCTGGGCAGCAGAATAGAAAATCCAAGTCAAATAACCACACACATTTTACTCGTACGAGAAATGTAAAAGGTTAATGTTTGTCGGCAAAAAGAGGATAGGCAATATAATTGCATTTTGCCGGTGGCAAAACCATAATGTTTCTGTATTAACTTGGACCAGTCGATGATCACAGTCTCGAGGGATAGTTCAGCAACTGCATCTCTCGTAACAGTATTCTTGAGGTGACGACGAGCACCTTAAAAATACTTAATCTCCGCGTACGAAATTTTTCAGCAAAATAAATATTAATTATAATATTATAGTATATACATTGTTGATAAGAGACTTTTTTATTTAATGAATATACGTTATTAACCTTTTTGTGCGTTATAAATATTATTTATTCGTATAACCATCAAAATAATTCATAATATTTCATTACATCTTCGAGATATAAACATTTTAAGCTATTATTGAAACTGTGCGCATGACTTTTTAAAGATTGATCGATTTTCAAATGCACATGATTATTTTAAAACTGTATCTCTTTGGTTCGATCGTTTATCAACAATATTGATTTAACAGTTTTCCATTAATGAATTGGCAAAGTAAAATGACAATAATTCCGATAAAATATAATCAGCTTAATTTTATATCAGATAATAAGTATTGTTACACGCTTTGTGAACTTGTATATAGCGAAAATACAGAGGAGCATATGAAACTTTGGCTATACACTCACCCTAACATACTACCGGTCATGTGGTTGCCCGTAAGTTAATATCACCAGTGCCGCTATCCTCTACTCTATAATATAGTTGCATGTAAAAGTGTAGTGGGAGAATACCGTGAAAGTTTTGGCGAAGTGACAGAGGAGAGGGAAATCCTAAACCATCGTTATGTGTGGTACCGTCGAAACCTCGGTCAGGTTAACTTTGTGGCAAGTGGAACTTGCTCGTTTATATATTTGCGAATCTTCGATTTACTTTAAAATACTCTCATTAGTTTAGTTGACTTAAAATCAAAAGTTTATTCGTAATCAATCTTCGAAAATCAAGAAATATATAGTTTAATTATTAGATGTATGCGATACATATTGATAATTGTTAAAAAAAGAATAACTATTTATGAAAACTGCAGTAATAAACCTCCGTGAGCTTGTTTCATATGTAAAACGCGTTATTTAACGAGTAATCAAATTGTGTAGCAAATCAAACCAATAATCGAATGCTAAATATCTTGATAAATTTTTTTTATCATACCAGAAGTATTAGGAAATATTCTATTTAAATACAATGTTTCAATCAGAAAACAAAAACCCAACTCATCCAACCGAAAATTTACTAATGGTTTATTGGCGTAAACTACAAAAATAAAAAAAAAATCCTTTAAATGACGATCGTGTATGTAAGAAGGGCACGCGGTCGGCGTAGTGGCCGTTGTCGTCGTTGGCGTCGTTTCCTCGGCAACCGTAGGGGACCTTCGCCTTCCATTTTCGGCTATTCACTGCGCTACAAACATCGAATATGGCGAGGGGGGTCGTGCTACTGGCGGAGGAAGATTTGACAGTACTGCCGAAGGGGTGGTGGTTGGCATTGGTAGAGGACGGGCGCGTTGTGACGGTGGAGAGAGAAAAGGAAATACGGGGTGGCAATAGCTTTTTCAACAACGGCCTCTGCCCCTTCCTTTTCGCGTTGCCTTAGCCAACAGCTCCTTCCTGTCCCTTCTTTTCTATTCCCCTTGATCCAACTATTTCCCTCAATGTTGTGTTGTGATGTTAGCTACCGCTGTTGCCGAACTTTCAACACAGCTCGGGATCGGCTCGAATGATTGTTAAGCGAATTCCAATAATCTGTTTAACCGTTATAAAAAACGAATCGATTAAGTAGTAGTTTTGCCGTGAGTATTTCAAAATCCCAAAGAGAGAACCGCGTAAGATTCATTCCTCGCCATTAATGCGGTGGTGTCAAAATTAACCTATACGGACGAATGCCAAATATAAATATTATAANCCAAAGAGAGAACCGCGTAAGATTCATTCCTCGCCATTAATGCGGTGGTGTCAAAATTAACCTATACGGACGAATGCCAAATAATATTTATATTATTATTAATGAATGCGTTGTGTAGTATACGTATGGACAAGTTCTTTAATTCACTAGTACTACAATGTCGTTTTATGAAAATGTATTTACACATACAGCGTATAATCAGGATTACTTTAAGTAGCGCAGTTTATTTAGAGGGTGGTTTTAATGCTTTTTACAGCAGCTGTGGGTTAGAGGGATTGTTAATGACAGTATTTTATATTAAAATCAATCTATATTCACGCGGTGTATGATGGTTTGTAATTAAAACGTCGGTAATCTGTTGTGAATCGCGCAGGTTTATTAAATTTTTGTTACACGCATTGAGTTTAATTCGTTTTTAAGTTGCTTTACGCGGCGTGTAAATTATTTATGCTGTATAAAGAATGAATTTTTGTAACACTATTAGGCTACCCATTCAAAACTTTTTTGCAGATAACGTCAACTTGCAAACTCGTTTAGATTAGTAGTATGACACTGTACTCGTGTAAAAATAAAAAACTTTTCTCCGATGTACTTGTTTTTTCGCCTTTGCATATAAATTTTAAATGTCGCACGTAATTAGTTTCCATCAGTTCTATAGGGTCGCCGTTGTGTGAAATGCGTGTGCTTGTTCAACGAATCCCGTCGCTGGATTTAATTATACGCCATGTACTAAAGGTTAAGTAAAACGGCCGATTCAGACATCCGGTTAAACATTTCTTTGGATCCGGGTGTCGTTGTTGTTATAGCGGTGGCGTTCGTGAACCGTAAGAAACGAATGAAATAATGTTGTTGTAGAATTGACGAAAACAAACCTGTGACTATTCTGTTGGCGATGGATGAAGATTGACCCGATGCAACGTGGCGGTGGAACGAACGTGCCCGAGAGGATACGGGCAAACGACCGATGAAGTGAGATAAAAGTTTACTTGTAGCTGGCAAATGCGTTTGTCTATATAGTGCACACTAGTGTATACGGGTGTAGATAATTTAAGGGGAAGGCCGCCGGTGGGGTGTTTTAGACGGGGTATACCGACGTGGGCGAGGCGGTGGCGAGGGAGTATTGACTTCGGTTCCCCTGGGCTCGGGCTCCAGTCAATACCGCTGGGACCTCGCCTTACATAGCAGTACTTCCCAAACTGACTGCACGCCGTATAAACCGAAGAGTTGTTTTTTTTTTCACGTCAAACTGTAAGTACAACAATTCCATGGGAAATCGTCTTTTTTCCCTTCTTATCTATAGTTCTTACGGTATCGTTTTGATTACGAGATATCGATTTAATTTATACAATCGAAAAACGTTATTACTTTAGTGTTGCATTTTACTTTTGTACACGCATACATTTAATAACTTAATTATTATTTTAATAAATTATTCATGAAGACAGGACAATATAAATTACATTAACGAAACATGTAATTTTAATCATATGAAATGCGTAAAAATTTATACGCGCAACAAATAAAACAGCAACTTGAAAAATCGATTATCAGGTACTCGAACTTAGGCTTATTATTATTATTGTAATCGTTTTAATAAAAATATTGAAAATTCGATTTGAATCGGAATTTGGTACTTAGAAAATTGATAAACACACGGGGTGTAATCAAAGAGTAAATTGTATTTTTGATCTCCTAAAAGTCAGATACTGTTTTATTGGTCGCGCATATCGATAGTCAGTACAAAAACAATTTTGCTTAGTGGATAGGAAATATTAAATATTTGCATTTTATCGTAATCGGGCAGTCAAAACTTGTCAATTACACGAGCAAATTAAACTTCTCGTGAATTCTGTGATACGAATTTTAAAGGCCATTCTCGAGGCAAGTCAATGTTGTTAATTTACAAGTTATAACAAAGCTCCTATAGGAAAATTATGTTCGCGTGGTAGACGCTTCCTGAAATAAAGCTAAGATTGTTTAAAAAATGTGGTATTTATTACATATACTGAACTCAGCGCAACTAATTGCAATCGTTTATTTCAAAGTTATTCACTAGTAAAATATTTTTTGAAGCGCAAATAGAGAAAAAACCATAAATGTCGAGTTCTGGTGAACATTTCATAGTTTCTGTTACAATATGTCCAACGCGGGACGATTTAAAATGTTCATCTGAAACGTTTCATGAATAGTGTATGTACGTGCTGTCGGTGATTTGGCCAGGAAGCAATATTATCACCGCTGTTATTTTTCATAATACTCTCGTTGTTAACATAGTTATCACTACAGTACACTTGATACACACGTAAGCGACTGAGCAGCGGTTAGAGCTACGGTGGCGTTGGTATAAAACAAATTGGGACGGTCCCGAGCCGTTCAATCTTACTGTCAGCCAAGCACCACCGTATTAACAGCTTCATGATGACATCATCAATTCCGTCAGACCGTTCGGCGGCGGAGCTGCTGTCGTAGTCACCGCCTGTCGTATCCGCTGCCGCGTAACGCATATACGATAAATTGCGCCATTAATGTTTTAACGGCGACCGGGTGTG